AAAAAAATATTGAGATATACCATAAAATTCATTCTTTTAAAGGACACAATTGAGTGGTTTTTAGTATGTTTACAAGAATGTGTATTCATCCCCACTATTTAATTCCAAAACATTTTCATCACCCCAAAAAGGGACCCCATGCCCCTTAACAGTTACACCCCATTCTTCCCTCTCCCCAGCCACTGGCAACCACTCTTCTACTTTTCTCTATGGATTTGCCTTTTCTGGATATTTCATATAAATGAAATCATGCAGTATGTGGTTTTTTTGTGTCTAGCTTTTTATTTAACCTTTCACTTTACAAAGGTCATCCATGTTGTAACATGTATCGATACTTTTTACAGCTGAATAATCTTCCATTGAATGGTATGCGGCATTTTGTGCAGTCATCAGTTGATTGGCATTTGGGTTGTTCACACTTTTTGGCTCTTCTGAATGATGCTGCTATGAACATTCATGTACAGATTTTTGTGTGAACAACTATTTTCAGTTCTCTTGGGTATATACCTAGGAATGGCATTTCTAGGTCATATGGTAACTCTGTGTTTATATGGTTGACTTTTTGAGGAATTGCCAAATTGTTTTCTCAAGCAGCTGTACCATTTTTACGTTCTATCAGCAATATATAAAGGTTCCAGTTTCTTTATATCCTTTTTTAAAAAATATTTGAGAGAGAGCACAAGAGAGAAAGAGAGAGAGGGAGAGCAGGGGGGAAAGGGAGAGGGAGAAGCAGACTTTCTGCTCAGCAGGGAGCCCGATGCAGGGCTCGATCCCAGGACCCTGAGATCAGGACCCGAGCCAAAGGCAGACCCCCAGCCCACTGAGCCACCCAGGTGTCCCTTTACATACTTATCAACACTTGCTATTGTCTTTTTTATTCTGTTCATTTTTGTGGGTGTGAAGTGATATTTCATTTCCCTAATGACTAATGATGATGGCATTATATACTTATTGGTCATTTGTATATCTTCTTTGGAGAAATATTTACTCAAATCCTGAGCCTATTTTTAAATTGGGTTACTTATCTTTTTAATGTTGAGTTGTAAGAATTCTTTATATATTCTGGATACTAGACATTTGTCAGATATATGATTTACAAATATTATCTTCCTTACTGTGGGTTTCATTTTCTTGATAGAGTCATTTGGAGCACAAAATTTTTAAATTTTGAGAACATCTAATTTATCTATTTTTTTTTTGGCTTGCTTATGCTTTAGGTGTCATATCTAAGAAACCATTGCCTAATCCATGGTCATGAAAACTGAGACCTGTGTTTTCTTCTAAAAGTTTTATGGTTTTAGCTCTTACATTTTGGTCTTTGATCCATTTTGAGTTATTTTTTGTTTATGGTTTGAAGTAGGGATGCATTTTCATTCTGTGTGTATATTCGGTTGGTCTGCACCATTTGTTGAAAAGACTCTTTTTACCAGACTGAATTGTCATGGCATTTTTGCTGAAAATCAGTTATCCAACATGTATGGGTTTATTTCTGGACTCTCCTCTTCCATTGATCTGTATGTCTATCCTTATGCCATTACCACACAGTCTTGATCACTGTAGCCTTGTAGCAAGTTCTGAAATTGGGAAGTGTGAGTTCTCCAAATTTTGTTCTCTTTCAAGATCATTTTGGTTATTCGAGGTCTTTTGCAAATCCATATGAATTTTGGGATCAACTTATCAATTTCAATAAAAAAGGCAGTTGGGATTTTGATAGGGATTGCTTGAATCTGTAGATCAGTCTGAGAATATTGCCATCATACGGCATCTTTACAATAGGCTATTATGTCTTTTAAGTCTCATTTGACCTATAAGTTCTTCCTTTATATATTTATTTTTTTGTTTCCTTTGTTTTTGTGAAGAAACTGGGTCTTTGTCTTGTGGAGTTTCCCATACTCTAGATTTTGCTGATTGTGTCTCCGTGGTATTCCTTTATTCCTCTGTTTCCTGTAAAATGGTAATTAGATCTTGAGCTCAGTCAATTCAAGTTGATTTTTTTGGCAAGAATACTTCATATGTTGGTTTGTGCTTCCTATCATCATCATCGTTATTTTAATTTACATACTCTTCTGTTCATTGCTTAATTCACATGTACCTTGGGGATCATTACATATCTGTACACAAAGAGCTTCATTCTTTTTTAAGACTGTATAGTATTCCATTATATGGTTGCACCATAGTATATTTATCCAATTTTTTAAATAAAGATTTATTTATTTTAGAGAAAGAGAGAGAGAGCTCACAAATGCAAGTTAGGGTAGGGACAGAGGGAGAGGGAGAGAGAGAATCTCAAGCAGATTCCCCACTGAGCATGGAGCCCGATGCAGGGACCTATCTCACAACCCTGAGATCATGACCTGAGCCGAAATCAAGAGTCAGACACTTAACCGACTGAGCCACCCAGGTACCCCTATCTTGTTTTTTATGATGAACATTTAGATTGTTTCCATTTTTTCTCTGGTATGAGGTTTCATTAAATAACTTTGTACATGTATCATTTGTCACATTCATGCTGTATTAGGGTAGATGCTTAAAGGAATTATTGGGCCAGAGAGGATATAAATTTGTATTTCAGATAAATGTTGCAAAATTGCCCTGCAAAGAAGTTATCCCAGTTTACATTCTCATCAGCAATGTAGGAGCTCCATTTCACTGATATCTTTTTAATATATAGGAAACTTGCTAAATTGGCTGCTTAAATAGGATTAAGTGTATATTGTGTATGTATACACATAGGTATATAAAACTTTACAGAAATCTTAAACGTACCTCAACTAGTTAACTAGTAGCCCTGTATCTGGTGCTTATTCCCTTGTAGGAACTATTTGTATCATTCAGTAGAAAGGAAAACTTGTGTGGCTTTTTTAAACTATCTCAGGCAGACACCATGTTTCAGAACCACCTTTCTTAATCCCTTTGTCCTCCCCCACTCCATTCTCACAGTAGCATTCTTACAGCTGGGCATGAAATACCCTCTTTTGCTAGAAGCTAAGGCCCCACAGGAAGAATATCCCCTGAAAGCTTGCTTGAGAGTCTTGTCCTTGGCAGTAGAAGGCTTTGCCCCTTTAGTCCTCCCAGAAGATAGCTCTGTAACCCTAATGGAGATTTAGGCTTCTCCCACTGGAGGCTCTGAACTTAAGCTCCAAGCAGAGCCAGTGAATGAATGCACAGTTGGCCCCATTGACTCTCAAGTCACGCATCTGTTTGAATCCCAAGAACATTCTCTGTTAGTAATTTTCGGTGTTAATTTGGTATGACAACGTGGTCCTGCAAATGCAGAAGTTGGCAGGAACTTCACTAAATGGGTGAGATCAGAGGGCACCATTTTGTTCTCTTTGGACAGTGTAACTATTTTTGGAATGAAATTTGTCAGAATTGCAGTCTCTTTTCTTTCTTGAAACCTAGATAATCGAGAGATTTGGTCTTTTGGCTTAAACTCTGCTGATGCCACCATGGTGCAGATGCCTTGGTTTCATTTCTTTCTTCCTTCCTTTCTTTCTTTCCCTTTCTTTCCTTTCCTCCCCTCCCTTCCCCTCCCTTCCCCTCCCTTCCCCTCCCTTCCCCTCCCTTCCCCTCCCTTCCCCTCCCTTCCCCTCCCTT